TATGATTTCAATTCCTATATAATATGTGGGGGGGCTATTGCCTAATACCCGGTTCATATCTCGATTCCGTGTTATCTTGAAACTATTTCCATTGATTTAAAATCTCAATAATACTTAGTGCGACCTAGACATCGAACCCGGGACCTCGTAGTCGGCAGTTGTACTTGCGACTACTCTATTAACAAAGCTGCCCAATTATTCTACCCTGGATATGAAAAGGAATAAGCCAACTAGTCTTACTATCAGCCACTAGACCAACAATGCATTATGATACATATTCTAATGAATTCGCCAGGTTATAAGTAGAAGGGCTGAAACCAATTATTTATAGTCATCCGTCCTATATGCCTAGTGGCGTATGAAATACAGGATATAATCATAATTTGAATGCTATAAACGCATTTATTAGTACATAATTTATTAAATATCATTGTTTATATGTACTAAGTCTTATGAGTTGTAAAATTTTATTTAAGTATCATTAAGAGCAATAAATAAAAAAAATAAACTCATTAAGTAACATAAGGTTAAACTTATTATTCATGCGATGCGAGACTATGATAAAGTGACCCTTATTGCCCAGCAACGGGTGTGTATGTCTACTCAAGATGTCTACCCTTTTTTCGGGAGTGAAACTTATCGACAACTCCACTAAACGAAGTCGATAACATGTTTATCAATAATAATGATTACAATTTTTGTCTCACCTGCAAATACACGGGGAATTCATGAACAAATTCAATAATAGACGGCAGTTGGGCATCAGGTATTGGTTCCTTGCTGGTGGCCTCTTCCTCCAACACCTCATGAAGGAGCAGTTCCAAGGAGTGAGGGAAGTAAGCTAGCTGTGAGCATGAGCGTGCGATCTCCCACGCGTGGTACCCTAGGTTGCGACGGAGCAGCTGCCGCAGAATTTGATGAAGGTAGACTTGGCTCTGATGGAAAAATAATAATAATTAACATAACTATTTTATAAATGAAATGTTTAAAATTAATGGTCCAATCATTTCAATAAAATAAAAAATAAATATAACACTAAATACTCCTGTTAATATATAACACAAGGCAAAGAGAGGGCACGATTATTGAAATAGAAGAAAGACCTCAGACAGACACAGATATGGCATTTGAAACATTCAGAAACTTAATAGTGCGTACTTTGACTTGAGAATTCAAGCCAAACATCATGTCAAAATAATGTCTAATGTCGTGGTGGCCCGGAGGTTTAAGACACCCGCTTCTCATGCGTTAGGGTACAGGTTCGAAACCTACCAACGGCAAGTACCAATGTGACTTTTTCTGTGTTATATGTACTTTCTAAGATTATCTAGACACCACTGACAAACAGTGAAGGAAAACATCGTGAGGAAACCTGGGCTTATAATTTCTAATTATAAGCTTAATCGCCAACCCGCATTGAGCAAGCGTGGTGATTAATGCTCAAACCTTCTCCGTGTGAGAAGAGGCTTTGCTCAGCAGAGGGCATTTATAGGCTGTTGATGATCATGTCAAAAGAATCTAAGGACACCACTCGACTTTTAATTAAGTTGTATCCGACTATGGCTAAGCAAGGACGATTATTGCACTAATGAAGAAATTCTATATTAGAGCAAAAGGATATTTAGTGGAAACACAAATCTCCTATAGTGTAATTATAGTACTAGTGTATATTACATCAACATGTAAAAATTAACGATACGTAATTATTACGCATTGGTTCTATTTGGGCGCTAATTAGGAACATAATTAAGGAAGCATATCATTGGTGAAATGAATAGGTATTCAGTTCCTTTCTGCTAATTGACGGATGTTCGTAATAACTTAAGTTACGATTTGGGTTTTAATATGATGTTTTTCGTGTGTTTTATTGCTTGTTTAAATAAAGTACCTGGATGACCGAGCATCCGACGGTGTTTTTTTAGGATATAAAATGACAACGTTGACATAATAATATTATATAGAAGATTTGCTCTTTTAAATGTATTAGACACAGGTTTTCGAGACAGGGCAGGCAACTAAATATTGTATGATTAACCCTTTTTCCCCTCCCCTCCACAATCATAATACTTCATATTTTTGTGAAGTACTTCATCAGCTATCGAATAAGCCAACTTACAAATAATGAAGAATTAATTTATTATACTAATAATGAAGCATAAAATTGATGAACCAAATTCAATTATAGAATTGTTAAGTTTGATCAATCTATACACAATCATAATATATTACGAATTTAAGAACGTCAGTAAGTACCTACATTATGTCAACAAATAAAAAAATAACAAGCGCGGTCGGCTGTGGCCGAGCTGAGTATAAGCGGTACATTTGTTATTACATTACATAATAATAATAAATTAATATATAAATCAGTACAATATTAGACTAGGGCAAGTTTTTATACAAATAAATTAATTTATCATCGTCATCAACAGCCTATAAATGCCCACTGCTGAGCAAAGCGTCTTATGGAGAAGGTTTGAATATTAATCACCACGCTTGCTCAATGCGAGTTGGCGATTTCAAACTTATAATTAGATATTATAAGCCCAGGTTGGAATGAACGAATTAATTGTCACAAAGTCACAGAAGGGTGTAGGTCCTGGTACGAAATGATTAGCTATACGTTTATCTTGTGTTAAAAATCATAATATTAAATTATATTTGTTTGTATAAAAAAGCATTATGCTGTTAACTTACTGTTCTATTGACGACACAGAATGGCAGCGAGAATACTGAGCTGGAGTCTGAAGCGTAGAGAGTTGTGTCGTTCTCCGCTCCCAGCAGGATGGCATCGTCGAATAAAATTGCTGCAATTTAATAATAATATTTGAAATTATAAAGTAGGAACACTAAGGCTTTCTAAAACTGTTATTATTTTTCCCTACTAACCCAGGGTTGTCAATATAAATAAAACATTAAGGAATTCTTGTTCAAATCCCGACGTATTCATTCAAGTTAACATAAACTATAGGAAATTATTGCAGACCCCACTCAACGCTACAGGAAGTAGTTACACTTAACATTCGTATGTAAATTACAGAAGTTTGTATCTGACTACAAGTTTCAAAGCGTAGTCGTAATGCTATCTTTAAAAAAGTACAAAAAAAAACATAACATAACATCGGCCCTTTTATTCCCGAAGGGGGAGGCAGAGGTGCAAAATATGCCACTGTACAATGAAACACTCACTTTTTACTATTTATGTTATGAGTTCCATGTAATAGGGGGTGAGCCTATTGCCATATACCGAGCACAATTCCAGACTCCGTGCTACTACTGAGAATTTTTTAAACCCAGTAATACTTTGCCCGACCCGAGACCGCTTGCCCGGCAGTCGCACTTGCGACCACTCGGCCAACGACGCAGTCATTAGTATGTACAAAAAATCTAACAAATTAAACAATCAAAATTAAAAGATAAAAACTTACTCAATGGATAAATATTAAGATGAAAAGGCAGCATGATCCTTTTAGCCATGAACGTATGTCTGCTCGAGTCAGGGTGTCTGGTCGTATCTCGTGGTAGTAAGGGGAGCCAGACTCTCGCGCCTAGAGCGCCACACCAGAGCCATAGAGCTCGGGACAGTTGTGTCTGTGAGCCAGTCACACTGCCACAGGACCAGACACTTTCCACGCAAGATGCTAGAACTGTTGCTGGAAGGCAGCTATAGGCCTGGAGACAAGAGATATAGGAATCATTTAGATACCAAAATTTACTTTAATGAAAAATTGTCCTTTAATAACTTCGCCTAATTTTTATTTTAATGTCCGTCAGGTAGATTATTTAAACACATTAGACGCGTATTTTTATTTTTTTTACGGAAACGAATAGTTTCTAAGGTATATTGATTTGAAATATCGCATGATGTCATATTCGAGTACGATTCATACACTATCACTCCTAAACTTTGATTCGTTTTATCTAAGTTTTGTTTTCTTATACGACAAATTAAATAATACGTGTACAATGTCGGAATACTCAAACGCTACTCAATTTTAAGTCGTGCATAAGTATAGTTCTGTCTCTACAAATTCTTTGTAAAATGACAGAGATGGCACGATATTTAAGCACGACTTAAAATTGAGTAACGTTTCAGTATTCCGGCATAAGACACGTATTTCTTTCATTACCTAACTGACGGAATAATTAGATTTATAATTTTCATACCCTGCCATCTTCCCTTTTAACTCAAATATGCTGTTTTAATCTTTGAAAGTTTTAGTTTTTCACATAATTATGTAGTATTTTTTACGATTGCTAAGTATGACCTAAATGTTTCTTATTATAATTATTACAGTCTACCATATCGCAAAATTAGTGTTTTAGTGTCAAATAGCAATGCATGTATTATCATTCCTTTGTCACAAAACTATTCTATTAGAGAACTTACAATATTAGTGCCCGGCTTAATAGTAAAATCAAATTACATTGCATGTAAAATAACAAGTTTCTAGAATCTCAGGAATTCGAAACTTATTGTAGCTATCAAATTATATTGCAATTGATGTTTATTTAACACACAAACTTGGATTAATGACCCGGCACTTGTTCGTATTGCTACGACTCCATTAAAATAGTAGTGGTACATTGAAACTGTTTAGGGTTGACTAATTAATTGCTACACTATAAGTGAAATACGAGTGCCTATAAACCTATATTTCTGGTCGATTGTGACGGGTAATAAGTACTTTGACAAACTTTAAGCCCTATTACTGCAAAAAATACCGAACTATTTCAAATAACATATTAGGAACGTATATAGTACCTAGAAAACAAAGTTCACGATCGCATGTAAATCAGGTGAAAAAGATGAATGTGTAATGTAATACAAGTAATATCTGATAATGATCACACTGACCGACATCCGTTAGTCGAGCGTGCAATCAACCAGCCGTTTACGACGCCCCGACACTGCACGCAGACGCAACTGGAGCAAAACGTCGCCGTATTATTAACGCGTTTATCTATATTGCAGCAATCCCTCGTCCATGGAGATACGATCCCACACCCAATACATTTAGAGATATTAAGATATCAAGAATGGCAATCATGTAAATCATTCCCACAATTGATCAGTTTCCGATCTGATGTTTACAGAAAATACCCGCGCCAACCTGTACGTCCTGCCCACCGACGCATCGAGCCCTCTTTACATATTAACTCGCGTTTTCACTCCCCGAAGGCTGTTCTATGAAAATGAGGAAGCCTGATGCAACTCTGGTGATTGTTGTTACAGCTAGAGCGAGTGCGCGCTAAACATTCCACATCCGCAGCATAGGACATGAAGGTCTAAACCAATCGCCTATAAATGCCTTCAAGCTGCCAATTACTCTGCAGTGCATTTTTGACATCACGTCAGTGCGTCTCCGGCATAATGAATATTTACGCAGCGGTCGGTGCAATCAGACGTTGCTTTAGATTTAATGTTAAGGATACGTTTGTGAAGTGGTGTTCTGAATGTTGCAGATATCGTGCCTCCTCGCCTTGACGGCGTCTGTAGCGGCTGACGGACTATTAGGAGGGGGTCTAGTATATGCGCCAGGACATGCCTCAGTAGATTATTATGTGAGTTTTGTGCTATTCAAATTTCGTTAAGTGAATTATTTATGTTATTTTCAAACTATGTGTTTCTTTTCTGAAGGCCTATCCCAGATACGCCTTTGAGTATGCAGTGAAGGATCCTCACACAGGTGACAACAAGGCGCAATGGGAGAAACGAGACGGCGACGTAGTTAAAGGTACATATATCGCAGGTAGGAAAATATTTTTTATTTATTAATGAACACCATTTTTATGTATTTTTTTCACCACAGGAGCTTACTCACTAGTGGAGCCGGACGGCAGCCTACGTATAGTAGAATACTGGGCCGACGCGAAATCAGGTTTCAACGCTGTAGTGAAGCGTGTAGGACCCAACTTGCACCCAGTGTCAGTACCTGCATCCATCTACAAGGCGCCGATCCCAGTGCTGGGACATGCGTCTGGAATTGCACCCATATCTGTGGGACCTATTGGTAAACTTGGAGGTCTAGCGGGCGCCCCTCTGATATCAGGACCTATTGTGGGAGGAGCTATATCCACGGCGAACCTTGTGAAGACCGCGGTGCCGATAGCACCCATAGCGCCTATAGCGCCTATTGCTCCCATCGCACCAATAATCAAGACGCCAATTGCGCCAATCGCGCCCATCGCGCCAATCGCACCTCTGTCATCTTACGGGCCGCTTATCAAACCAGTAGCTCCCATAGCGCCGCTTCTACCATCATACGCTGGCCTCCCTGGTCCCATATACAAGGCTGGACCAGTCTACCCTGCGCCTCTACCCGCCCCAATTATCAAGTCTGGACCCATATTGACAGGAGGTTTGGGAGGATACCCAGCACCGTTGCCACTGTTGAAGGGTGATGGTCTAGGATATGGTGGATACGCAGGAATTAAGGACATTGGACTTGGTTATGGCGGTTACGCTGGATTGAAGGGCGATGGTCTGCTATTAGGCGGTTATGGGGGCTACACTGGACTGGGCGCCGGTTACGTCAAAGCTCCCCTTGGCGGCCATGGATTATTAGGTGACGGACTACTGAACACTTGGGGCGCGGGACCTTACTACGGCAAGCATTAATTTGTTAAATACAGAAATCTGAGGACTCCCAACGTTTAGATGCCGCTGTCCATAACTGTTCCCTGTTGCCTTTAGTCTCTCCTAGTGAGTCTCCTTGAAGAATAATTTTTAAAGTCGGATGAAGTCGAGTCTTTTGTACATAATACATTTAATATTTATGTTATAATTATAAGTCAGACTAGCACTAATAAAGCATACACCACCGTGTGGTGAAATCAGATTGTTTTACTAACCTGTATACCTATAATATTAGCCTGAGTTTTCTTCAGTTACATGCTAATAGATTATGTCAAGATAATATAGAGAGCAAATAGCTTCACTATTAAAATTTTTGTTGACGTTTAAAATTACCTTCTATATAGGTGGCGTGATAAAGCCTTCGGCCTTGGTTCGGTTGAGAGAACGAGATCTCGCTATACGACTTGTATAGCTCTGTTTCTTTCCCTCAAAGGAACCATTCTGACGTTAGGACGTCATAATAAACCCACAAGTCTAATTGAAATAAATTACTTTGACTTAGACTTTGATAGATGTACTATATCAAGCTATGGGACGAAATACTTTACATGTGTGTTATGCTGACCCCAAGCAATCAAAGGGCGAGAGCCTATTTTATCAAGCACTGAACACTGGTCCAGTCACATCTTAATATTGAGCACAAAACTTTCAACCAAAGATGAATTATAATAGCACCTTCCAGTTAGCGTGAGATATTGTACCTACCACTCAGCTAGGTACGTATATACCCCATAAATCCCCAAGCGGTCACCGGTGACCGCTTTCCACTAATATTACATTACATTATAGACCTTATTTCTAATGTTTAGAGAATACTTTTGTATGACCAAATTTAGGGGATGGATATCAACGGGTTAACTTGATTGGAAGTTCTAACATAGATAAAATTAGTACATAATTAATTACATAATGACTGTTGATCCTGCTGGAGTACTACAATAACTGATAACGTGTTAACGGTTGACTGCATCCTGATGATGAATTTCCTTTTGCATATATTAATTATAATAATAATTTTCGTGACGTTGTTAATACAACCTAATATAATCACTATACCAAAAATATAGTAATATGGGATATCTGGATTTACTTGTGCATTAATGAATGAAATAAATAAAAGAAAAGAAATAAAATGAGTTAACTTATTAGTAGACTTAAATGTTCTTTTTTGCTTGTGGTTGTTGGTCAGGTTAACGGTAAAAGACCTCGTGGTCGTTCACCGACCCGTTGGCTAGATGCTGTATAAAACCACACTGGCCTGACAGTTCAAGAGTTCCTGAGGACAGGGGCACTTGGAGGAGGGCTGTGCATCAAGTGACGCGTACACCAGATTAGTCATGACCTTCAGTAATGAAGATAACGACTAAGAAGAAATATTCTTTAGGAAAGAAAGAAATATTATCATAACACACACTTTTTGATCCCCGAAGGGGTAAGCAAGGATGCACATATTTAATGATATATCCACTTATCAAGTTGCATTACGAGTCCCATGCCCCCTCTGTTAAAGTCAAAGTCAAAGCATTTATTTCAATTAAACCATAATTTGGTACTTTTGAAACGTCAACAAATACAAAATAAATAATAGTCTGTCAGTCAGTCCGTCATTGAAGCTAGGTGAAGCTAGGTGCTCATTCCAAAATGTAGATTCGAATGGAGAAGAACGAGCAAGAAACTCTATTCGTTACTCTTTTTTTTTTAAGTATGTTATATGAACCTATAAAGAGGGTTACATTTATAACAATTTAATATAAATACATATCAGTAATTCATATAGGATATATAAGACTTAAACCTTAAAGACTCGAAACCAAATTGATTTTAACTTCTTACCCAATGTTAATTGCGATTGGTTATGACAGATTGGAGACATGCAAGACTGACAGCTCGTTAATCAGATAATTGACTGTACAATTTATGTATATCAATGTAAATAGAGTCGGTTTTTGCTAGGCAAGTTTACAGGTATATGCCAAAAAGGGTTCTGCTTGAGTATATCATATATGTAACTGTCTAACGGCCATTTTCTATAACCTATCTATCTGTAGATTTGCCTACTGAGATAGAATTTTGACATAACCCATACAAAATGTGTAGGTTATAGAGTTCAATCGATGGCTACAACAAAATATTAAGCTTTTTACTTGACTTTTTGTCTAATTATTGAATAACGAGCTGTTTTGACACTTCAGACAAGAATATTTACATACGCAAACTCATGTCTTAACTCTATTGGGATAAGGCGATACTACAAAGTGCCAATACGATGTTTCTCACAATCGGCAATCCACTTTACCACATGCTTCTTCTCATAAACGAACCCTAAACACCCGTAACTACGGCCATCATCATAAACTAAGCAAAAAATATTTCAATTCGAATACTTTTTTTGCATGTATTGGGTCATGTTGCATGTGAATACCAAACCTGTAGTATCAGAACTAGTATCGGCAGTCCTACCACTAAGCACTTATAAAAGCATACTGCACATACTGACAACCCAACATTCTACATATCACTAGCTGACAATATGAATCGATTTTTAATGGTTAGTAATTTTTGAGTTAAAAATCGATGATACAAATTATAAAAAAGAGGCGATTATCGATTATTATTTTAGTATCTGTTTATGTCATAAAAAATGTATATGATTACAGATTGCGTGCGCACTCGCCGTAGCTGTTGCTACTGTTTCCGCTGGTGCCATAAATGTGGTTCCAGTCATAGATAACATTGTAAGTACCACATACCGACTGAATGATGCAACATCTCTTATAATTACTCTTGTCAGTATTATAAAGTTAAATGTTACAGGATCACCCCCGCTACGCGTACAACTACGCCGTCAGCGACCCGATAACAAAAGACAACAAGGCGCAATGGGAGACTAGAGATGGAGATACGGTCAAAGGATCGTACTCACTGGTAGAGCCGGACGGCTCCCTACGTATCGTGGACTATGCGGCCAACGACCTCACCGGCTTCAACGCAGTCGTGAAGAAGGTTGGACCCTCTGTACACAGTGTGCATGCACCAGTACTACCTATCAAGCCAATTCTACCTCTGTCGAAGCCAGTTCTACCAGTAACCCCCTTAACATCAATTATAGGCCCAGTTCACTATGGCTTCGGTGCTGCACCCATTGTTGCTAACCTACCAAAACTAACAACTCTGGGACAATGGAGTCTCCCATGGGATCCATTCACGCACTCCTATGGAGGATGGGTTCCTTTAGGCGGCTCTGTGTTAGACAAACCGCACGTCACGATATTCAGTCGAAAATACGTTGATGGTAAAGTGCACAAATGGACGACTGGCCCCATTCCGCTGTACGGTAGAACATTAGTTTTACAAAAGAAACATTGAATTGTAAAGTTAGATGAATGAATTTGTACATAGCCTTGGAATATTCACAATAATTCTACCACCGTACTGGTCGAGGAGTAAGCATTATTGCTGTGGATTGTCTTCGTGTGTTTGGGCTCTTATTTTAGCCAGTATTAAAGCTAATGTTAACTAGTCTACAAATGCTTTGTACATATTTTTGCAGCGTCGATTAACTGTGAATGTGTAAATAAAAGTAATTAAACTGACTGTGTTTTGTTTTGTTCTATAACAAAAAAAAATGAAATATATTCCTTATCTCCCGTAATCTAATCATTTTTGTTATTTAACCCAAGTGACAAAACTTGAAATAGTCAGGCAAGGGTGTAATCTAATATCCAGAGCCTACATTGTAATGTAAGGGCTCACCAGTTAATTTGTAGTTTAGTTTTAGAAAAATGCAAACTTCATAATTCATCTTACTTTGGATAGTGAAAATGAAATCAACTGCTGTATTTGCACTATTATTTATACATATACTTGCTGTTGTAAAATAATTAACGAATTGAATATAAGACGAGAATATCAAATAAAGTTCATAATAAACAATACTAATATATAATACTCAAACGCCAATCAATTTTAAGACGCGTTTAAGTATAGTTCTATCACTACAAATTCGTCACTAAAAATTACAGAGATGGTACGATATCTAAGTACATCAGCATTCGGGCATAAGGCTCACTTAATGATAGTAAAAGGTTAGTTGTTATATATTCAAATAGAGAAATGAGGTAATGAATAAAATAAGTAACTAGTGAAAAATGGATACAACATAATTCGGTTTTGTCTTATTGTAACTGTCAATATATCTTTATAGTAGGTTTTTATTAATGTTATTTTAAGTACTCGTTAGTATATGCCAGGTTATCTATGTCTAAGCTGTTGGAGTGGGATGGGTTTCAATATCCATCTGTATATGTAAATCTATTAGCTAATATCATTTGGTTTTTGAGTAATTAAGACTGACAGGTATTACCTCAACCTTCAATAATGGGGACTACCGCTTTTTTTGCTCACTAAATGGAGGTAGTGTGTGTGAACCAATAAGGAATCACAATGCCAATTTGTGAAAGCTACAGTGATTGGAAAAAAGCTCTTGATATATTTGTGTCATCTCTTTTTTATGGGATAAGGTAGTAAACGATCATACGGTGAGCAGACGGTCGCCCATGGACACCCGGAACACCAAAGGCGTTACAAGTGGGTTACCGGCCTTTTGGGGAATTTGAGGATTGTTGGGATTTAGGAATTGGGCAGATTGGGGAGCGGGGGGGGGGGGTAATTGGGCCACCGGTAACCTCACTCACACGACGAATCATAACGCAAGCGTTGTTTCACGTCGGCTTACTGTGAGGCCGTGGTATCACTCCGGTTGAGCCGACCCATTCGTGCCGAAGCATGGCTCGTCCACTCTTATTAAATCTGGTACCTACGCCGAAAAGCGGTAGCCCCCATTACAGTCTAAATAAGAGTCTTATCTGTACTGCACTTTTAGCGTAAAAGTTAAATATCTCGCTGCTGCACGTGTAGTGTGATCCGTATGGGCTCGCTGCCATCGCAGCGGTAAGTCCCCTCTTTGAGGAGTGGCTTGAGAGACGCTACGGCGTCCTCACCTACCGCCTGACGCAGGTCCTCACCGGACATGGGAGTTTCGGGAGGTACCTGTGTCTG